GGATGGAACAGGAGTGAAAAAGAATATTCAAAAAGCAGTTGAGCTGTATCAGAAAGCAGCTGAACAAGGATATGCTGTGGCACAGAATGATCTTGGTGTTTGCTATGAGAATGGGAGAGGAGTGGAAAAGAACATTCAAAAAGCAGTTGAGCTGTATCAGAAAGCAGCTGAACAAGGAAATGCTTTGGCACAGAATAATCTTGGTTATTTTTATAAGAATGGGACAGGAGTGGAAAAGAATATTCAAAAAGCAGTTGAGCTGTATCAAAAAGCAGCTGAACAAGGAAATGCTGGGGCACAGAATAATCTTGGTGCTTACTATTTTAAAGTGGAAAAGAATATTCAAAAAGCAATTGAGCTGTTTCAGAAAGCAGCTGAACAAGGATATGCTATGGCACAGAAGAATCTTGGTGTTTGTTATGAGAATGGGATAGGAGTGGAAAAGAATATTCGAAAAGCAGTTGAGCTGTATCAAAAAGCAGCTGAACAAGGATATGCTGCGGCACAGAATAGTCTTGGTGTTTGTTATGAGAATGGGACAGGGGTGGAAAAGAATATCCAAAAAGCAGCTGAGCTGTATCAAAAAGCAACTCAACAAGGGTATGCTATAGCAGAGTTGTCATGGACACAGACATGGGACATGGACAATCCGGGATGGGACTGTCCATGTCCATGTCCAATCACTTTTTATGTCCCAGACAAAATGATGTTATAAATCACGTGTTTAACGCTTATTCGTTCATTGTTTGATATATTGTCTAGTATGATAAAAGTAATCTTCAAAATTTTATTGATGTCAACAATTATTTATGACTGAACAACACTCACTTTTCCCACTTCTTCAAAGGCTATATATTAATATCTCAATCATTAGACTGACTAGGAGATCTAGCTGCTATGCTAGAAGGTAAAGAAAGATTTTCTTTAAAAAGTGTTTTCAATTCCCACTTAGCATTGTCATCAACAGCAGAATGGCTAATATGGTCTAATGTAACTGATGTGAATTCATCTTCATATTAATATAACTCATTTCCTTCCTCAAAAGTTCCTTGTCTTTCCTCTTCTAACATCTCTGCGCAACCTTGGAGGTATTCATTGAAATCACTTTCTGAGAAACCCGTCTCCAGTTCAGTTTTATCACCAGAATCTTCATAATCCTCTTCTTCCACTGAGGTTGTGTCATTCACCTCTCCAACATCTGCATCATCAGAATTGTTATTTTGACT